ATTTCAAATCGTCCAACTAAAAAATTCCCTGTTTCTTGTGGCGTGAACAGGTCATGATCGACGAGCAGACCGAACAAGATTTGACAAAAATAGATGACAATAACTCCCTTAAAAAATCGTTCAAAGAGAAATATGACAAAATGGAAGATGATTAGAAGTGGAAGCTCTCATGTACAGGGCGTGTCGTGGAGGATGTTATTTACGAGAACATTTCAAATTTTGCGAGTGAACAGTAAGTATATTGAGTTAATGCTTAAAATTTTTTAGTCTAATAATTTAACTTGCTTAATTTCGCGATAGTTTACTACATTCATTCATAATTGATGTGGACGATCCAATGATCACAGGAATATTCTTTCCTGCTGAAATAGATGAAATAAAATCAACAAATGTCAAGGAGGAACAGGAATTAAGTAACAAACTTTACGAAAACCTTACAAGATATTATGACAAGGTTTGTTGAAAACGCATTGTGAACAAGACTGTTGTGTCATAGTTTAACATGTTTTATACAGAAAAGTGTGGTTGAGATCAAAAAGATTATAAGAGAGGCCAATCTTGGTTGTTCAAATTTTGAAATCGAAACACTTGCATATTCTATTTACAGTTTGTAAGTATAGTAAGAATACTAAATTTAAAGAGTATGAACAGCATGTGAATGATTTAATATGTACTATATTTGCAGGATACGACAATACGAACGTAATTCAAGTGGGTTCTCCTTAGGACATTACGAAAATTGGTACAACGTAAACATATGGGGGCCTGTTATCAATAGGATATATGATGACATTCCAAATATTGACATTGTTCGGTAAGTACTAATTGAAATATCGAAATTGTAAGAACATTTTGTTAACTAGCCACAATTTTTATTAGTGGTGAATCGTCAAGCTTAGCTAGTTCAGATCGAAAAAACCATAATTGTACAACGAATACTCGAAAAAAAATGGGGAGAAGAGGAGACGGATAATACAAAAATGTTCAAGCGGAATACGACATGAATTTAGAGGTTCAGAAGTTGGCAGTCATTATGAAGGTCAAAATGCCACAAAGTGGCTTAATGAATCTGGTCTAAAGCTACCTAAAATGTTGAGAGACATGTTCGTTAGTTTGTGCAAGAGTGTGGACTGGGACTTGGAAAAAATAAACAATGTGGAAACAGTAGGATATATTCATAGAGGTATGTTATTATCATTTTTCTTTCGACTATCCCAGATGATTTTCTAATACATATATTTTACAGGTTCAGTTCTAATGATCATAACTCTGGATTTTCCTGCCGGATATATACATCGTCTCTCTAAGAGTGACCTGTATAATATACTGGAAGATATCGAATCTTTCAACAAGGCATTAGAATTAATAACTGCAGTTTGGAAAAGTAAGGTAATATTGGTAATATTTACTCTATTTTATTTTATCTATTAAGGGCTGAATCGATGTTACTTTTGTTACTTTACAGAAACAAGTCGTCCGAACCATGGAATTATTACAGGAAAATGAAAAAGATTCTAGTAAATGTTTGAAAAATGTATCCATACGCAAAAGAAGCAATCGTACTAACAACCAAACTAGCAAGCCTAAAAAAATTCTTCCAGATAATTAAAATACACCAAAAAAGACAAAGTAATGATTGGGGAAATCACGTTACGCACTTTTATTTGCGATTTATCTTATTAGCCATAGTAATGTAATCTAGCATTTAATAAAAAAAATAATTGCCCTTATCTTTTACGTATGTATGCCTGTATGCAATGTGCACCGGGAATGTGATTATCGATTAAGTGTGTTTGTTTTGTATCACTTGCATAGTAATCTTAACACATTTTTTATCCAAGCCTAATATCACGTTGTCCGTTTCTGAAACTGACACTCCAGGCCGGCGTCATTCCTCCCTTTAAACGTGATTTACTCCAATATCTTTTATTAGTTTCATTTTTTGCTTAGCCGGCCGGCCCTTTCTCATATATTATTTACAAATACAATAAAGATTTACTTTGAGTTTTTTAAACGTGTTTCGTGTTTTACAAGTGATATTTATTAATTACATTTGCTTATTAATACAGCTATAATTGAAAAAAACAAACAGCTAGAACATTAAAATGTTATTCTACAGTTGCTAAACGCTATATATATATTAAAAAAACATTCTATTTCCTATTGTTCTTTCCGAACTGCTTCCTTTGCTACCATAATTAATTGTTACATTAATTACATTCGCATTTTGAGAAAAAGAGGGGAGTGTTGGAGTGACAGGTCTAGAGACTATGGGAGTCTCAGTAGAAGGTGTTACAGGTCTTGATGATTTGGTTTGTTTATGTG